TTATATTTGAAACATATTTCATTAATACAATAATAGAAAAAGTATACTCCCTATTAAAAACATATTTTATTAATTAAAAAAAGTTATATAAAAATATTTTTTGAAAAAGTTACCCCGTATATATTTGGTGAAAAAAATATTTGCGTTAAACTAAAAGTTATATATTTGGTGAAAATGACTGATAAGGCTGTAAGCTGAAAATGAGTTATCAAACAGGTTCTACAAGTCATTCCAAAATACAAAATTTTATTTTCTAAGGGCTAATTAAATTTACTTAATGTGAACAATTAATTTTATATTACTTTAACTCCATTTTTGACTGTATTTTAACTCCATTTTTAATATCCAAGAAGTTATGAAAGGATGAATTCAAAAGCTTCTACGGACTTACGAAGTAGTGGAGTTATGCAACAAACATTTACTTTGAGATTGACTTGGTGTGGGTTTTTTCCTTCAATATCAATATTACCAAATTGAAGCTAATTAAAAAAAAAATATGACCATTTTTACAAAATGACAAAAATGTGATTAAAAAGGTCATCTATTTGAAAAACATGATATCACCACCATTTTATGGCACTACAAAATTTTTATGTCATTATCGGATTTTTATGTCACTGTATTACTATGATATGTCATTGCCGTGTTTGTATGTCACTTGAGCGTCCCTATGATCGTCAGAATATTTTCCAGCGACTATTCCGCCTAAAAAAATCCAACCGCCACCTCACCCTCATCCATCTCCCAGCCTAGCCTTTACTATGGGTGGACCGGTTCCGGTTCGGGCCCGGTTCGGGCCTCGGTTCAGAAATGGGAGGCCCGGAACCGGCCCGGGTAATCCCGGGTCCGGGCCGGGCCGGGCCTCGGTTCTATTTTTTTTTTTGGCTTTTCCTAATTAACCCCCAACCCTCCCCCCTCACCCCCAAACCACCTCAAATGGCCCAAAATACCAAGCCCAACCCAAAAATTTAAAAAAAAATTTAAAAAAAAAAAAATTGGCCCGAACCGGCCGGGCCGGTTCGCCAATCAAAGGGCCCGGGCCCGAACCGCACAGTAACCGGGTCGGGCCGACCCGAACCGCCCCCCGGACCGGTTCCCGGGCCGGGCCGCCCGGCCCGAGTCTATCCCTAGCCTTTACTGCCCCACAATGACGTCGCCACCCAGTTTTATAGTGACTACCACCGTCCACCGCCGACCACCATCACCGGTCACGACCTCTGGTGACCCCCCCCCCGCCACCGTCTACCGCCGACCACATCATATCATTTTACTCTACCGGCAACCCAAGTGTCTCAATTAGTCTGCCATCCTGTCATAGTCCACCACCATCCGACCATTGTCTAACCCCCACACCATTTCCGACCACCAGCTCACAACCCCCACCACCTCGCCACTCAGCCGCCACTACCCCTTCCATTACGTACCCTAAAACAATCACAAATCCAGATCTAAATCCACTCGCCCACCACTACCCCTTCATTCGACGATCGACAAACAGAATACGACCGCTCATACGACGACGAAGACCACCTGGGTGACTAGGTCGACATCTCCACCGCAGCTATCGCGGCCGTAGAGCAGTAGACACGACGACCTAAGAGGTGTTGGCGACTTGGCGTCGGGCGTCGGCGATTCTCATAACAACGGTGGCGGTGGCACTTATAGCAACGGTGACAACAACTCTCACAAAGACGGTGGCAACGACTCTTTAGCGGCAAGGCAGCTTCTCTTCAATAGTGGCGGCGGGTCTTCAGCTCCATGTCAGTTGCACAAGCTCTAGGGTTGAGGGTGAGACTTGAGAGGAGATGCTAATTTAGGCTTTGGGAATTGGGATGATTTTGGGCTTTTGATATGGGAAAATGCGGAACAGCAGCGGAAGGGCCTAAAACAGTTTTTTCTCCAAACGAGTTTTAGACTTTGTCACATTTTTGTCAACTAAAAGCCTATTTGTATTGTTCTTGCCATCCTTTCAAGTTTCAACACTATTTTTTTTAATATTTACAAAATGCACCAAAGTACCATTACAAACGAATTACAAGAATGTTCGAGTAAATGAATGTTCAAATCTTCCACATCAATACCATGCCTCAATAGCTATTAATTCATGCGCATCAATCGACAAAATCTAATTTTTAGGGGATTATTGCCAATCATTTGAAGAACCAAGTCGTGATACATTAATTGCGTATATATGAATCACACAAAGTACCAGAGTTCACAGTAACATCAAATTAATAGGACTGCAATGTGGTGTTATTTCATACAAAATACTGAAAAAAGCAAGAAACCGTTATTTATGAAGGTGGGAATTTCTCCCAACAATCTAAATGCAGAACAAAAACACCAAAACCTACAACTTATGGAGATAAAAGGTGTTCAACACCTATTACTTGAGATAAAACTGATGCAACCATTCCGAAGTTGCACTAACCCTGCGGTAAAAGTAATAAAGCGTGTCAATTATAATCCATTCATAATGAGTGCAATTTGCAAACGTATCACCCATCAATGATCACTATTTTTAAATAATAATAACCCTAGTAACCAACTTAACATTACATTTATTCCATTTCTACCAAAAAACACCCTCTGGCTAATATTAACGCACCTTGTTTGCTATGTTGTTTGAAAGCCAATCTAATCCCTCGTATAGCCCTTCCCCTGATGTGGCACATGTGCTTTGGATATACCTGCGACGGGAAAAAGGAAAAAAATATTATATTCCAGTTATAGACCTTCGGAATGGGGGCAGTGCTACTAAGGTGTTGCATGTGTTGGTTTTCATGAAATCTACCAGTGGCGCTGTCGAAGAGAGTGAAGGCCAAGCTTGTCAGTGATTTCTGCAGCATTCATTGCATTTGGGAGATCTTGTTTGTTAGCAAAAACAAGTAGTACAGCATCTCTTAATTCATCCTGCAAGAGAAGAATTTTGGGTAAACACAATTTGAAGCCTACTCAATATATTCTAATAGAATCACCAGACATGAGATCGGGAAATAACGATGATACCTCATTCAACATCCTGTGAAGCTCATCCCGTGCTTCAACAACACGGTCTCTGTCATTGCTGTCAACCACAAAGATAAGACCCTGTGTGTTTTGGAAATAGTGCCTCCACAATGGCCGGATCTGCAACCACCCAATGTGACAGATATGAAATACCAGTTTATAGTATTACATACAAAAGAAGCATTTCCTTTTTTTGCAAAAGTACCTAAGCATGTCAGCCATAGCAAGGGATTCTATTCACAATAGACTTGAGAAGAGAAACCAAGCAGGCAGAAATTAAATGTAGCTTACAGTTATGTTAGGTGCTGATGGAGAACATATCAGCACCTGACCGTCCCATAAGCACAACTGTTTACCTTCCAAATTACTAATAAATGATAATAGGGCATGGTGGAACAAGGGAAATGGGTTGAGCACATACCTTGTCCTGACCTCCGACATCCCATACAGTAAAGCTGATATTCTTGTACTCAACAGTTTCCACATTGAAACCTAGAAATATCATCAAGAGTGGTCAAATCACCAGAGAGAGACAGTACTTTGGACACTTCAACATTGTGCACCATAAAACCATAAACAAATAGGAGTAATTCAATACAAATCCTCTCAGAGGCTGCCAACATCTAATAGAATCTGTTTGATTATTAATTCAGAAAACAAAAGTTATATTGACCAACTGTGATCTTCTAGATATATCATGAATGGATTTACAGTGACTACACAAAGTACAGACACATAATTTCAGATTGATACAAAAAGGGAAAATTGCATATTTGATATTTCAAATCAGTATCCCCAAAAAGTAATGTTTTTTGAATGTATAAATGTTGAAGACTATGAGATCATTCTGAGTCAGAAGCATACCAATGGTGGGAATGGTCGTGACGATTTCACCTAACTTGAGCTTGTACAGAATTGTGGTTTTACCAGCCGCATCGAGACCAACCATAAGAATGCGCATTTCTTTCTTGGCAAAAAGGCGACTGAAAAGCTTGGTAAAGGACAGCCCCATCTTGGTCAGTCAATCTGAGACAAGTGATCTCCAGTTAGCCAAGATCAATCAAAGAATAACAATGACTACTACATCCATGAACCACAATAAACATTCAGATTCATATTCATTATTCAGACTGTTGTGGTACAAGAGCATTTTCACATAATTGCCAAATATAGCAACAAGTTGCAGAAAACTAATAACTGTGAAGGAAACATGTTACAGACCGAAACCAAAATAGTATTAAAACACAGAAAATCAGACAGATCGGTTAATCGTCAGCCAAATATGAAGCCATTGTAGCATTCAACGTCATTCCGAGAACCGACCACAGATCAGAAAGGACAGAAACAGTAAAAACATTTACAAAAAAATCGCCAAAAGAACACGAAAACAAAAAGCATGAAATATCAACAAATCAAACAAATTTCTCAATCATGAAAGGATATCATTATCATCATCATCTAAATCATAGAAAACCTTAAACTGCACCACATAGAGATAGATCTTACGAAACAGAAGCGAAGGAAAGCAAATCAAAACTTTTGAGAGATGGCGAAAAAATGGCTTACGATGAATAGTCAGATGGGAGGAAAAAAGATGCGTAGAGATCTGGTAAACCAACCCCGCCTGCAGATCCGTCTTTAATCTGCGGAGTTTTTGAAACGGAAATGTAGGAGAAACGGACGTTACCTTTTTGGGCAGCTAACCATGGAACGCCGTTAAGATTCGCCGTTAGAAACCCGCGTTACCTTCAAGTCAGGTCAGAAACGGGCCGGGTGACCCTGACCCGGATCACCAACCGGCTCCGAATTCGGAAGCTTCCCCAGTTTTCTCCGTATGATTTTAAAAAGTTTAAATGAAACCTTATAAAACTCTCTCACCGCGTCTTTCTCTCCCTTCTCTTTTTTCTCTCTCGCTCTTTTATTTTTCTCGCTAGGGTTAGGGTTTTCTATTCCTTAAGTGCTTTGCCTTTGAAAATTTCTGTGGTTCTCGTTTTAAATTGATGATGTTGATGTCGACCTCGTCGTGAATTTAAAAAGTTCTCTCTATCGGTAACCCTTATCTTCCTTTCTTTTCACAGTTCATTTTGTTCCAGTTTGTTCTGTTTTGTGGGCAAAGAGTGTTCTTTTCAGTTTCTAGTGTTTGTTCTATCAACTATTGTTATTTAATATTTGTATCTTTCGGTTTAAACCGTACTGGTGAGTCTTTTCACTCTTTCTATCAGTAGGGTGGAATGCCTTGGATTCAAAATCAAGTGCCTTTTGAATTGATTTGTGCTACCTCTGCTTTCTTGTCTCTTCCTTATGTAATAGAAAATTGAAAATTGGTCTGCTTACTTGTTTCCAGATCTTAAAGAACCAAGTCGAACCTCTGGTTTACCAGGCTGAATCTTGGAAGATTTGGAGCTATGTATAGTGAAGGTGTCCCTGAGTTTGTTATTGATCAGAGCATGTATTACCCTACTGGCACCAATTATGGGTATTTTTGTACAGGTTAGTTTATTATGCTGAGTAACATAATTCTGTAATTATATTTTAACATTTATATCTCTTTCATAAGTTTTAGTTAGTATTGTGTATGACTTGGTGATTTGCTTTTGGATAGGATTTGATTCAGCCGTTAATTGGGATGACCACCAAAGAGTTTTTGGTCTGGATGGTCAAGATGCTTATTCGGTAATGAATATTTCTAGTTACATAGATATTAAGTTGTCCAAATAGTTTTTCTTAATTTGGGTTTGTGATTTTTTTTCAGGGTTCACAAAGTGAGAGCTTTCCGTATGTATATTATACTCCTAGCTATGGGTATGCACAAACACCATATAGCCCTTATACTCCGGGTGCTGTTGTGGGAGTTGACAGTTCATATATGGGGACACAGCAGTACTACACCCTTCCTTCATATGAGAACCCGGAGTTCACCCAATCATATTTCCCAATGATAATGCAAAACGAATCTGATATTGTGGCTAGCAGTAAAACTCCGTTCCTCGATAACACATTTTCTTCCGCTAATATAGTGCAACAAAGCCGTGGTCTCAATCATAAGTTCTCTTCAGCATCTCCAATCTTCATCCCAGCTTCATTAGGCTCTTCTTCTAGCCAAACAAATTCCTTCTTGAGGGGCGCAGATGGTAATAAATCTCTTCCTGGGTCCAGCAAACAGCCAGTTTCCCATGGATGTGTTCCTTCTGAGTCTTTCTCCAATCAATCGTCAAAGGTAATAGATGTCCCAGTTCCTTGCTAATCCTGAATGAGGATGTTTATTTCATTTTTGGACCATCTTTTTTACAGAATTCATCCCAAATATAGAAGTAGTCCTCTAAGGAAAATATTTTTGCATTGAGTATTCCAAAAAAATTGAGTCCTGATTTGGGCAACAAATAATTAATAGACTTCTTCCTTACCTGACAGGTTAAAGTTACTCAAGCACTGGGAAGTGTTTCCCATGGGAAATCTAATCATTCTCAGATAAGGATCTCCCTTCCGCCTGATAATGGGGTGTCGACTTTCCGATCAACATCTCATGATGTGGCCAACGTAGATAAGTTTCAGCCCAAGATTTTGCAAGGAAGAGTATCAACCGATGTAAAAGTCAGTCCTGCTGCATCATCTGGACAGAGTTTAGCTCCTCGGATCAACAGGTTAAATAGCCCATTGGTCATTAAGGCGTACAGTACAAGAGCCGGAGACATTGATGCTCGAGGAAACATCACTATCTTAAGAGAACGGTATAATTTTGAAGGATTTCAAATGGACTATGGGAATGCAAAGTTCTTTGTTATTAAATCTTACAGTGAAGATGACGTGCACAAGAGCATTAAGTACAACGTTTGGTCATCTACGCCTAATGGCAACAGGAAGCTTAATAGTGCTTATGAAGATGCTCAGAGGATTGCTGCTGGGAATTCAACAGGCTGTCCAGTTTTCATGTTCTTCTCTGTGAGTCAAATTCTTTAGCACAAGCTTTAATGACATTCTCTTCTTTCATTTATGTAGTAGGCTTCTATCTTTATCTTGTCAAGGTATCATTTTCAGTATTTATTTAAGTGATATTTTCCTTTATGGAAATGAAGGTAAATGCAAGCGGTCAATTCTGTGGTGTTGCTGAGATGATAGGGCATGTTGATTTCCATAAAGACATGGACTTCTGGCAGCAAGATAAGTGGAGCGGCAGTTTCCCTGTGAAGTGGCATTTTGTTAAGGATGTTTCAAATTCCAACTTTAGACACATCACTTTGGAAAACAATGAAAATAAGCCCGTGACTAATAGTAGAGACACACAAGAGGTATCCTTTATTGCGGTCTCTGGTCATTGAATCAGTACTTTAAAATTTAATGTAGCATACAGATAAGTTCAATGTGTTAAATGTTTCTAGAAGCCATTTTTATTTTGCGGTTTGGACTTCTTGGGGTATGTCATGGCCTATAAGGATGAAGCTATTGTTCTCATATGAGTCTAATCAAGTTAGTCATTGCTCAATAACCCCTTATATGCCCTTTATCTTCTATGTCTCTACTGTTTGGGATCTAGTTTTGAATCTGTGGTATTTGCTGGTGAGTGCTTAAATCTCCATCATATTTTGTACTACACTTCACCATGCATTTATTCTTGGTTTACTCCATTGCTATTGTGACATGGATGAGATACCACTTTTTCTATGTTCCATGTAGTCCTTAGTGTGCTGATATTTACAAGTAGGATTTGCACTTTATTTTACCAGACAGTCTGTGGGTAAAAGCTCTAGAACTCAATTCTTTGAAGTTTTATTTATTTGCATCTTCACATGAAATTGAGTTAAACAGGACTTTTCTGCTCTGGTGTATTTCACACTGCTGTTAATATTTGGTGCAGCTCTATTCCAAATTTCACCTGATTTATAATATTCATGCAGATATACTTCAAGAAAGGGATGGAGATGCTTAAAATCTTTAAGAACTTCACATCGAGAACCTCCTTATTCGATGACTTTATGTTCTATGAAAGCAGAGAAAAAATAATGCAAGAAGACAGAACCAAGCTTCTAATGAGGAGCTATGAAAATCCATACCTTGTACCCGTATTAGATCCTCCACGCAAGTTCAATTCAATGTTCGACTCCTCGCTTCCCTCTAATGCCACTGACAAAGCCGTCCCTAAAAAAATTATTGCCCAGGAGAGTGAGAAACCGGCATCTACAGTGTGTGAGTCTGTAGTTTCCAAAACCAACCAAACCGGTTCAACTGAAAAGAGCGAGGTAAATGAAAAGCCAACAAAGAATGGTGATACCAGCAAGTCTGGGAGTAGTGGAGTTCCTATAACCAGGAAAATTGTCAAGGCAGATGGGGAATTATCAGAGAATAGTGATCCTAAGAAGGCCGAAGAGGAAATTCCTGTTGTAGTAGTGCCTAATTGCAATAAAGAAGTTGCAAATGGAAGTGATAAAAATGTGGAAGTTAGCATTGATAGTAGTGTTTTGAAGATAGGCTCCCTTACAATACATGCCAAGCAGCCTTCAAGCAAACCTAAGTCGCGTGAGATGGCATCTGGTACAACTAATACTGATTCTTCTGTAAACAACCAAGTGATTGATGTGGTCACTGTGGGGTCCATGCCTGTCAAAGTCAATGCGCATGTTGAACCTTCAGGGTTGATAACTGTTGGATCTATTCAACTTGATCCCAGATCTTTTCAGGGTAGTGAGAATAGTGGTTCTGGGAAAAGTGCACCTCAAAAAGCTTGATGCATTCTACAGTCTGCTGTACACTTGCATGCCTAGCAGTACATCCAAATATACCGTTGTCCTTGTGGGCCTCGGAGATCGTAAAAGCTTATTTTGTTTGGGTTTCTCCTGGAACAACGGATGGATGCATATATATTTTTTGGTTTTGGTGGTGGGTTCTATCATGGTTTTTTTGGCAGCCGTGGCTTGCAAAAGTTTGTGTTTATCCTTCGCCTTTCATTTTAGTCCCGATAAAAAGATAGTACATCTGAGAAGTTAATATGGAGTATTTGGGGTGGGAGGGGTTGGGGAGTTTTTAGATTAGATTTTGGCCTCCTTATAAATCATTTATTGGTCTTTTGTTAGCCTGACATTGATTGACAAAAAAGAAGCAAACATTGGTTTTTTATTGGCACAAAATATCTGATTTTATTGACTTTTTTTGTACCGAGTAATGTATTGTATTGGAGTTCTGGTATGGTTTGAGACAACGCTGTTTAGACTGTTAATACACTTTCTTATTTGTTAACTTTTGCATAAATTTGGACGCTACTGTCTTTTAAACAGAAGTGAATACATAGATGATGGGTGGGAAGTATAGACCTGTTCTAAAATAGCCGGTCAGTTTGGGCATTCTTGAAAAGTTGAAATCAAGAATTGGAATTGGAAACTTAAACCTGAATTGGTGTATACCGGGTTTGATTTATGTTTTCCTATACTCCTTCCATCCCATTTAAATCTTTACACTTTCTTTTTTGAGATGTTCCTATTTATGTTCCATTTTTACTCCTTTATGTTTTCTTCGTTTTCTTTTTATGCAATTCCATGTACATTAAATGCCCTAATTACCTTTCACTACTTACCCACTTTCACTACTTACCCACTTTTTACATTTGAGTGGATAGTATTAATTCTTCCCAAAAATCAATGGGTATGCCAAACAAATAAACAAATGTCGAGTTCTATTAATACAAACAAATTATTAATTTTATTAATTGAGCTCCTAAAATACCATATCAAAAACAAACGTCAAGTTCTATTCGGGATGGAGGGAGTAATAGGGAGTAATATGCTGTCGAACATTATATTTTGGGTTTTCGTATACAAGGATACATACTGCAAACTAGAAGAGAGAATTCCCTGAATAGAAGTAAAAACGTTTTGAAATTCTAAAATAGGAGTATCATGTTTTTTGTTTCCTGAATAGGAGTAAATTTCTGTCAAGTTTGGCATTACTAGGCTTTTAACATGACATTTTCTTCCAAACTAGGCAGATTACCCATATTCAGGGAATAAAAAACATGATACTCCTATTTTAGAATTTCAAAATGTTTTTACTCCTATTTGGGGGCAATTTCTCAAACTAGAACACTCCGCACATTTTTGACTTTTGAGATTTTTCTCAAATGCAATGATGTCTGCAATTATGGGACAAAAATATGCAGAAATTAAGCAGAAAGGTGTAGACAAAAATTACAAATGGTATGATAGAAATAATAAATTCAATTTTTTAAAAAGATTTATCTCCACATAATTGATAATTATTTTCAAAGAATTCAAATTTCATACGGAGTATTGTTGATGTTTATTCCTTCAACCCCCGGGTCCAACACGTAAGCCCAAGGATTTCGAATGGAGTGTGTGTGATTAAACTAGCCCAACAAGCAGATGATATTGATTAGAGAGAGCAAGAAAGTAGCAAGTAAGTGATTAGGTATTATTATCTCTTAATAACTCCCTAATACAATACTCTTTGCTAAGGCTCCGTCGGCCGTTCGTCTTACAAGGCAGTAGATGTGCTGCGAGTAAGAATGCTAAAGCTTGAATGCTAAGAATAGAAAGTTGCCAACCCTTTACAATGAAATAAATGCTTCTATTTATACCCGCCAATGGGCAGGTGGCTATGCTGACGTGGAGGCCTGTGGACCGCTGGTGTCCCAACCACCAAATCTTCAGCATTAAATGCACTTCCCGCCAGAATCTAGGTTTCCCGCCTAAATAGTGGGGACGTTCGTCCGCCCGGGAAGCGAGCTGGATTGCTCCAAGTGCCCCTCGAGAGGCTTCGGCTGTCCGTCCCCTGGCCTTATGGATTCTCACCCAGTGGACCGGATTCCCTCCGATAATTATGGGCTTGCTCTGGGGACGTTCGTCGTCATCCCTGATGGCCCGTGGTCCTGTTCCTTGTCCCTGCACAGACGTTCGTCACGATGGGCCATTGAACCTGAACCCCCCAATTCCAGACGTCCGTCCCTTCCCAAGGGACATGGGCCTGCGGCCAGCCTGGTGGCCTGCGGACGTGCGTCCAGTAAAAAGGGGGTTAATGGGCCGGACCTCGGCTTGGGCCATTAACCCAACACAAGTCCCCCACTTCTGATGTTCTGAGCATGCGCAGGACATAAGGAAGTATAAACCCCTTTGAAGGAGACGTCCGTGTCTCTATACTTGTATTCATCGCATCCGGCGGAGGCGTACGTTCGTGGTCATGGTGCTTCCCAGCTGTCGACGGTTCAGGAAACGATGTGACGGCTGCTGAAGCGGCGGTGCATTTTCCGTGGAAATGTCATCATTACGCCTTCGCCCCACGCACAGCGCGTGAGCCGAAAAACGCTCCTTGCCACGTGTCAGCCCCCCGTTGGTTCCCCCATCGGTGTTTCCCCTATAAATGCCGAGTTTTCCCTCTGGATTAGAGTTCCCGACTTCCGCTCTCCTGCTTTCGAATTTCCGCTGCTCTTCGAGTTTTTTCCCGCTTCCAAGTTCGGCTAATCCCTCTTTAAGGTAATTTTCACCCTCTGCTTCTTTTTCTTGTCTTGAACTCTCGCCGAGATGGTTTCGATGGAAATTTCGTCAAGTTCTGGTTCGGGTTCATCGGGTTCCTCCTCGGGCTCCTCCTCCGACTCCGGTTCACGCTCTTCGGGTGAAACTAGCACCTCCGGAAGTTCTGGCTCAGCCCCTACCGTGGGAACTGTTCAGGCCGGGGAGGCCCAAAATGTTGTTACTGCGACGGCCTCTGGCGAGGAAGGCACTGATTCGGGGGAGCAAGGGGATATGGCCCTTGATGTGGTGGAACCCGTGGCTGACGTTGGGGAACAGGAGTCCGCTGGTGAGGACGATCGTCCGGATGGATATGACTCTGGGGTCGAGGCCCAGGATGGTTCTGATATCGAAGTATTCGATCTTGGGCTAAAGATAGATGTGGAGAGGCATCTATGCCCGATCAAGAATGTCCTCTGCCATGAGCAGATCTTCTCGCCAGTAGCCCTTAACAAGCTGAAGGTGTTCTTCCCCCCTCCGTCCGTATACAGCCTCCGTGGTGCAACCCACGTGATGAGGAGGCGCCCAGGGATGATTATGGTGCTTCTGGACTCCATCGAGGCCGGGCTGCGCTTCCCTCTCCATCCGTTCTTCGTGGAATTCTTCTGTTGTTACCAGATAGCCCCCGCACAACTCATGCCGAATTCCTATCGGTGGCTCTCCGCCTTCCTAGTCCGTTGCAAGGACAATGGGGTCATCGCCACTTTGGATCTGTTCCATTACTTCTACCGGCTCACCCCCCAAAATTCCGATGGTTTCCTGAGCATCGCAGCCCGTCCGAAACGGAGGTTGTTCAGCGGAGCACCGAGTTCCATCCATGATTGGAAGAATCGGTTCTTCTTTGTGCGGTATGCGGATGCTCGCCTGCCATTACGGTGGAATGGCTATCCACCCAAGATAGGGTCCCCGGAGTTGACCGACGATCTGGAGGAAGACATCAGGAAGATCTCGACGGGCGGCGTCCGGCCCTTATATGACTTCCTAACTTTCGAGGCACTTGCCGCGGCAGGAATAGGTACCGCCCATACTCTCGGGCATCTTTCCTCCTACGCTCGTCTCGGGGTACTGGGCGGTCCTGACCTCCGAGGTGAGTCATTCCTGACGCTCGTCCATCTAACACATTTCCCATTTTACTTTCAGGTCTCCCCCCGACCCAAGAACAAATGAATCACGAGAAGCTCCTCAAGACGAGGAAAGGCAAAGGCGCTGCTGCTGATGCTGCCCTTGCCAAGGCCAAGGCCGCCCAAACAGCCGATTCTAACTCCTCCGCCTCCCAGGCCGATCGTCGCACGGTGGAGGCGGAACAGCACCTCATCGCCACGGTGATGGCGCAAGGGTCCCAGGCCCCAATCCTTAATCCTGGCGTTCCCGAGGTCGTGGCACCTCTGCAGGCCGTCCATCCCCGTGAGGGAGAGAAGGCGAAGGACAAGAAGTCCAAAAGGCCCCGGGGGGCTTCCTCTTCGGCCCCTGAAGAGCAGGAGTTGATCCTTCCCTCCCTTGGGCGTCCGGATCATGATGTCTGGCAGGAGATTGCCTCTCTGGTCGGCGTGGAAGTGCCTCCCCGGACGTCTTCGGAGGCTTCTAATGCGGCCCTAGCCGCTGCTCTTCAGGTAAGACTTCGCTCCGCGCAGGGTGCTTGATTACCTCATTCTAATGTTTTGAAGTCTCACTTCCTGTATTTGATTTGTAGGTCGGGCTCTCCGTTCTGCAGTCTGAGGATGCCCGAGATGCCGAGGTCCTCCAGGCGAGGAATAAGGCGGATGCCGCTCTGAAGAAGGCGAGAGAGGCCGCTCGTCTGCAGGAGAAGGAGCTGGCGGCCAAGGACAAAGAACTGCAGGCCGCCCTGAAGGCAGCCCGCGAGTCCTCCGCGAAGCTCGCGGCCCTGGAGAAAGCTGGATTCAAGCTCGTCCCGGCTCTTCCCGCCCCCAAGGACGAGGCCCCCGAATGGCTCGTCGACGATTCTGGGTACCACAACTCCGGGGCCTTCATGATTGCCGCCCAGAGGTACCTTGGGGGTGCCTTTGGCGATGTATTCGCCGCTGAGCTGCAGAAGCAAGCGCCGAGAGACCGGCTCAAGTTCGGGGTCCGAGTTCTGGAGAGCGCGCCCCTGGCCGAGAAATTCTTGTATGACGTTGGGGATAGCTCCTTTGTCATTGGCTACAACGAGGGGGTGAAAGCCACACTGCCGGTCTTCGCCGCTCTTCAGGGCCCCCGATTTGACCTGGCTGAGCATACCTCAGACCCGGAGCTGATCCGGGCGGTGGGCAAGTTGAAACGGGACGCCCGGCGGGAAGAGGCCAGAGCCAGAGGGGAGGTCCCGGAGCCCCCGTCCCACGAGCCCGAGCCCGAGGAGGAAGAAGAAACCATCCCTGGGGGGTCCCGGCCTGTTTCTCCAAATTTTGTTTAATGTAGCTTGTAGTTTTCTTGTTTTGATTCTGTACTTATCCGGCCAGTAGAGCCGAGGAATACACAACTCTTTTGCCCCATCATTGTCTCTACGTTCATGAACTCTTCCTGTTTTCTTTTATCGTTAATAGTATTTTGCTCCACACTTCGTTCATACTTCGTTCCTGTATCCCGATCTTTCGAGATACGAACGTACTCCTGTTGCCCCACATGTGCGAACCACCCCCAATGCCGTACCGTTGCGAAAAAACGTACGGAGATGAGGACGTTCGCCTGTATAGCTTGATGGAGAAGTCCGTCGCGTTAGGAATAGCATAACCTCTTACGC